ATTTATGTCTCTACATAAATTAGTGTGAGCTTTCATAGACTGTTTCATAAACATAGACACCATCAGTGAATTTATATTATTTAATACAGAAAAATAAAAGATATTTGAATATCTGAGAAGATAAAAGTTTGGAAAATCATTTTTCTGTAAGCAGTGAAATCTTAGAAAAGTATTTCTAATCCATAAAACTACTTATAGAACTTGTTATATAAGACCTAGGATATAAGATTAGGTGGTATACTCTTTTGGTACATATTTGCTTCTATTTTCTTTGCGCTACATTGAATAAAAAAGCAACCAGAATATTTACATTGATTTTTCATGTTTTGCATGTTAAGAAACTAAAAATGTGTTTAAAAAAAACACACAAATAATTTAGGCTTTTTACAATCAATGCTTGGTTACAATATTTAGATTGTGATAATTATAAAACCTTAGGTTATTTTTGTTTGTGTTGTTAGTCTTAAAGCTTTTCATATTCTTTCATATGTATTTGATCTTTCCAATACTTTGCAGGAAGACTGATTTTCCTTTTTCCCTAAATTCATGTTGATACTTACAACAAACTGCTGGCACCCCACCCATTACTCCTTGACCTTCCTTCTCTGAGCACAGGGCTTTCCACGTGAAGGGGATGTTCCACGTGGGTGTGTTAGTTCCCAGCATTTCTAGCCTGTGGAAGAGCAGAACAGACTCCAGTCCCCAAAGTCCTCACAAAAAGAAGCTGTGCTGGGCTGGAAGACTTGCCAGCGTGCCTTGAATGAATGTACCTAGGAACAGATCCCCACCAATGACCGAAGAGTTGGTGTCTATATACCCATTTTTTCCACACATTATTCTGAGGCTACTGTTTTAAATGGTTTTCCAGGAAACTTGCTTGGTAATTCACCCTTCATTGCCTTTCTTTCATCCCCTGTCTCACTTCCCAAGATCCCTACTGTGTTTCCTGAAAACACTTCTAAAACAAACTACTTGCACTTGAGTCCTTAACTCGGGTTCTAATTATGATAGAACACAAACTCAGAAAATATTTTCCCAAAGCATAGGCTGAGGTAATGCTGAAATAGTGGGAGTATTGATGTTCTTTAGTAACAGGGCTGTTTGTAGGAAAGCAGGAGCATGGAGACAAAGAAATGGGTTTAGGGATATTTGTGGGTACCGACTTTTTGTGCCTTCTCTAGAAAGCTGGTAATTATTTTATTTATTTATTTATTTATTTATTTATTTATTTATTTATTTATGTAATATATTTTATTGATTTTTTACAGAGAGGAAGAGAGAGGGATAAAGAGTAAGAAACATCGATGAGAGAGTCACCTATCAGCTGCCTCTTGCACACCCCCTACTGGAGATGTGCCCGCAACCAAGGTACATGCCCTTGACCAGAATCGAACCTGGGACCTTTCAGTCTGCAGACCAATGCTCTACCACTGAGCCAAACCAGTCTCGGCAGAAGCTGATAATTATTACTGAAAATAGATTATCTTCCATCCAGGTTATTCAGACCAAAACTCAGAAAGAAAAAGAACCCCTACTGAAAGCTGATAAAGAAAATTATTATTTTCTATCACAGTTGCTTATAATTCATCAACTAATTAGCAAGAAAAAGCACACAAGTTCTCTTGTGCCTTAATTTGTTAGAAAATATTCAATTCGCAGTGCTACAGCCCTTGCTGGGTTACTCAGTTGGGTGAAGGGTTGCCCTATGCACCAAATGGTGGAGGGTTTGATTCCTGTCAGGGCACTATCATCTCTCTTTCATTACTGAAAAGCACCAGAAATCCCAAGGACTCCCAGATGCTCCTTCCAATAAAGAACGCTAGGTTGCAGGTTGGGGAAGCGCATGGGAGGCAGCTAATTGATGTTTCTCTCTCACATCAACGTTTCTCTGTCTCTCTTTCCCTTCCCCTCTCTCTAAAAATCAATAGAAAAAGCATATCCTCAGGTGAGGATTAAGAGAGAGATGCAGTGCTGCTTTCTTGGGTAATTAAAAAATAAAACATGTCTTTTCAGAAAAATTAAAAGGTCAAACGCTTCTATTTTTTTTTAAAGTTTATTTGTAGCTTAAGGAATATAGTATAATAATTATTAATGAGCTGGGAACTGCTTTTTTATTTCTTCGGTTTTATTGCTGGTAGGAAAATGCAGAAAACAATGGATAAAATGCCGATGTCTATATAACTAGAATGATAGAGGTATAAGTGTAAAATGGAGAAGTAGAATTTAAAAAACACACACAACAAAACACGCTAGAGAATGGAGGTGTAATTAGAATATAATCTCTTCATTGACCAAATCAGCTCATAGGTGACTGATCCTTAGTGTCCAGGTATTAAGATTGTCTCTGTAATTGCTGGCATGTCATAGCTAGGTTACTATTAAGCCCACTATGCACACCAAAAATCACATCTTCTGCTTCTGGGCACCAAGGAGTGTGGGTAGTATATAAATATTAAGTCTGAAAAAGTGAATAAAAGAAGGGTGAAATGAATACCATAACTTTCAGCAAGCTTATGTCTATAAGGCAATTTAACTTACACATGGCAATAACAAATATTTTCTGAACTATTTTAGAAATATTTTATTTTTAGAAACTTATTAACAGTAGATTTTTGAATTCTAAGTCAGTCTTTCTCCAAAACTACATTTTGCTGAATATTTTGCCCAAGCTTTAATGTAATATAGCTTTGAAATTTATCTTTATCTCCCTCCCCCTTCTTTTACTGCATTGAAACAATCTAGTACTAAATCCCAGCCTTAATTTTTTGTTAAAAAACATGCTTACATATTTTTCTACATTTCACAAAACACTTTGATTGCACAATGTCTGGCATCAGCCTGTTTCTATCTTGACTACCACATACTTATTCCAAACCCTGCTTTTATTCTCACCACAACTCCGTTTTCTTATACCCAGTTCTGTGTATAAACCCTCCTTATTTTTGGTCAGGAAAGCTATGGTGAAGTTCCCTATTACATCATATTCAAAATTCTGGACTTTGGTTCACAGATGTTTACCAATATCCACGAACTTACCTGCTTTCCCTTTCTTTCAGCTCTTGGCATTTCTTCTGCCCTGACTTGAGGCAAACGTGTTTTTTCCCACACCAGATGAACTTTTATTCTCAAACTAAATGTCATTCTCTTCCGTGTTCAGCAGACTATCATCTATCTTTCAACAGAAAAGCACCAGAAATCCCAGTGACTCCTTCCAATAAAGAATGCAAGGAATGGAGTTAGTAGTATTCATTTCCATTCCCTTCTTTATCTAGCAGGAATTATATTTTACTCCATTCGCTTTGATTATTGCTTCAGATATGCAGGCATGTGGGGTTAGAATGCCACAGCATGATAGCGAAAGTCCTTTCCTATGCCTGCTTAATACTACAGCCATCTTTCAGGTTTGAAGCGCCATGGTGGAAAATATAGAGGATCTTTGTTCTAGAAATCTAGTGAGTGCTTATAGCTTTTTACATATTTTAATTCATTGCTATGTACATTGTTTCATTTGACTGGTAAGCATTGCGAGAGCTAGGCGTGCAGCCCCTGTTTGAAGTGGGAGGGAACATGACGCTTTAGTGTACTGCGATACGCAAGGGGACAGACACACTTTGGAATCGGGAAGAACTGAGTTTGAATTATTATTACAGTGTTTATACCTGTGTGCCTTTGGGTAAATTATTAATACCTGTAAACCTAAAAATCCTCACAAAAAGAGAACAATAATAACTACAGGATACATTACCTGTAAAGAGCATCACATGTAAAGTGGATTACTTGGCACCTGGCAAGTACTTGTAAGTAGAACCATGTTATCGGATTTGCCCAAGACACACTTTTTAGAACATGCCTGCAAGGAACTGAAACCAAGATTTTGGACTCCAGACCTCCTGCCTTGTCACTACCCCTGCTTCCTAACACACTGATTTAATTAAACTACTAACCTGATAGATGACCTTGGGCACAATACTTCATTGAGTCCGTTGACTCATCTGTAAACTGAGTCTTTTCCAGACTTTCAGGGTCTATTCCAGACAAATTCATGTCTCCCCTCCCTGCCCCCCCGCCCCCCTCCCCCCTCCCCCGTAGGTTGAAGTTCAAGTGCGTAATATATCCAAGATCTGTAAAACCCATAGCAGTGCACACTGCAATGAATTTTATTCCTATATGCATATTGCGATCAATAGTTCATTTTCTGGACACGCTCAGCTGTTGCCTGTCTTTAGTCTGGGTCCCTGCGACTCGCGGAGGAGGGAAGACCCATGCTTAGCTGCATTTATTTATTTACACCCCGGCTTGTTCCCGAAAGGATTTAAGGCGGGAGTGAGAAGACTCTGCGTTCCCCAAGGATGTCATCCAGTGCGAGTCAGAAACCTACTCTCTTGACTCATCATCACCCGGGAGGAAACCTCCGATGAGTGAGATGTTCACGAGTGTCTCTCACCTCACTCTGAACCACAAAACCGAACGCACTCAGCTAGAAGTTCCGGGAGCCCACCGCTCAGGCCCTAACCTCAGCCTTGACCCCGTCCCCACATTGGCACCCGGTCCCTCCAACGCCCTTCGCCAACTCGCCCCGACCCGCGCCGCGCCGGCCCGGCCCCGGCCCCGGCCCCGCAGGACGGGGGCCCCCCCCGCCCCTCCACCCGCTCTCACCCCCCACGCCTCCTGATTGGAGAGGGGCCTGCGGAGCCCGGCTCACGCCCCCCGCTATTGGCTGGCGCCGCTGTCAGTAACCCCGGCTTCCCGCCTTCCCGCCCAGCGCGTTGCTCGGACCCCTCGGTTTGGGCGACGAGCCGCTAACGTTTGCCTGAACCGTGTTTCCCGGGAGGGGCGGGGGGGGGGGGCCCTGTTCCTCCCCCTATTTCCCCCCCCCCCCCCCCCCCGGCCACCTTTCACCCCCATCCTTCCCACGGGAGCGCCCCCGCCCCCGGAGCGCGCCCCCGCGCCGCCGCTCCGCGCGCGCGCCCGGGACCCGGCCCCTCCACCCCCGCGGGCCGCGCTCCGGCGCGGGGAGGCGGCGAGGACCCGGCGCGAAGTGTGTGGGAGTCTCCGAACTCACCCCCTCATCCCCTCCCCGCGCAGCCACCCCCTCCCTCCCGCCCGCCCGCCGCCCCTCCTCCCCCCAACAAGCGGGAGAAATAATGAGCGAGACCGGGCAGCGGCGGCAGCGGCAGCGCCGAGCAGCCCCGGCGGCGGCAGACCCGCTCCGGCAGCGGCGGCGGCGGCAGCACCAGCGGCGGGAGCGAGCGCAGCGCTAGCGGCGCGGGGACCGCCGCTCCGGCCCGGCCCCTGCCTCCTCCGCCGCCCGGAGGCTCCGCTCCTCCGCTCCTCGCTCCGCTCCCACCGCCTCCCCTCCTCCTGCCCATTCACTCTTTCCCCCGCTCCCTCCCCTCCTCCGCGGCTTCCCCGCGCCCGCCCGCCAGCCCCGCGCTCCCGCTCCCCGGCCCGTCCTCCCGCTCCCTCCTCCCGCTCATTCACTCGCCCCTCTCCCTGCTCCGCTCGCGCTCCCCCTCGCTCCTTTCTTCTCCTTCTCTCTCCCTCCGTCCCTCACTCCCCCTCCATTCCCCGTCTCCTTCCTTCCGACGCTGCACTGCAGCTGCTGCGCGCCCTGCCCCCTCCCCAGTGAGAACAAGCCAGCCACACAGCTTTTTTTTTTTCTGAGAGATTTCTATTGATCCGACTTAAAAAAAAAAAAAAGCCACCTTAAGAAACTCCAAACGCAAAAAAAAAAAAAAAAAAAAAAAAAAAAAAAGAAAAAAAAAGCCAACACAAAAGGGAGAACCTTCTCCGCGTAGCAGCGGCAGGAACTGCAAACATGATGGCGGCAGCTCCCATCCAGCAGAACGGGACCCACACGGGGGTGCCCATAGACCTGGACCCGCCGGACTCGCGGAAAAGGCCGCTGGAAGCCCCCCCGGAAGCCGGCAGCACCAAGAGGACCAATACGGGCGGTGGGTATCGCTTCCACCTCCCCGCCGGCCCCATCCCCCGCGCCGCCCGCCCGCCCGCCCGCCCGGTCTCCCTCCCTCCCTCCCTCCCTCCCGCTCCTTCCCTCCCGCCGCCCGGGCACCTCCGGCCCGGACCCGGCTCCCGCGCCCGGCCCGCGCCCCCTCCCCTGCACCTGCCCCGCACCTCGCCGTCCGGACACCTTTCCATCTCTCCTGTGTTTTATCATTCATCAAAATGGCGACCGATTTTTTCGGAATTAGACCCATCTTTCCATGCAATCGGTCGAAAAGCTGACCCTTGACACATCCCAGACCCGGGCCGAGGGGTCCGGGAGGGAGGAGGAGCAGGAGGGTGGCCCCCCGCGCGAGGCGGCGGCGGCGGCCGCCCGAAGATGCGCGCCGCGCCTCCCGGTGTGTGTGAGGAAATAAATAAATAAGTGGCACTTGGGCAGCGGCGGCGGCGAGCCGGCCGGCGATCGGGGCACCTGAGAGTTTTTTCCCCCCTCTCCGTCCCCATCCCCTCCTCGCTGTGGGGCCACAAGTAGTAAGGAGAAACCTGGGCGAGCGGGCGCACGCTCTGCCCGCGCTCCGAGTGCCGGCGCGCATCGCTCATTGATCTGCCTTCCGCGGGCGCACGGGAGGGTGGGGGTGCCGGGACTGGGACTTGGGAGTTAACAGCCTGCGCTGCCGGGGAAGATGAGTTATAACGGGACCGGGACCGCTTCTTCACTGGCACTGGAGTCGTCTTAACAATGCACCCGATGCATCGAGGCAGAGGTGAATTTATCCACGGCATGCACACGGAGAGGCGGACGGGGGTCTTGCGAATGGCATGCCCGAAACATTTTTTTTGGAACATTCATTCAACATAAGGAAGCTGGCTTTTTTTTTTTTTCTTTTTTTTTTTCTTTTTTTCCTCCCTGGGTGTTTCCTCTTTAAGACATGATCAGTTTTGCGGAAATTAAAGTTTATGGAGTTGGCTCTGATTTTGGAAGCATTTCATTTCATTTCACTTTCTGGGTTCTTCTCTTACCCCCTTTCCGTTTTTGTTGTTTTGTTTTGTTTTGTTTTTTTAAATATGGTAGTTATTTTGGAGAAGGGGCATTATCGGCTCGGTCATTTTTAAGTGTGTTCGATATCAATGACTCCTAAGCTTTTTAGCACTGGCAGAAATTCTTAAAGGTCTTTTAATTAATGAGCTTAAAGGAGATCACGGTAGGCTAAGAAGTGCTAAAGAAATACCCGAGGATTAGTTTGATTTGCCAGTTCAAATCACTTTGAGTTATTTCCTGGCAGTTATTGAAGGCTTGGAACACACCCTAAGGTTTGGGTGGATTATTTGGTAGGAGAACGGTTGTTTTGCATACTTTAAGTAGGATATTTGCAATGGCTAATTGTAGTCCTTAAGTGTTTGCTAATGTCAAACATAGTTCATCACCATTTATGGTCCTTTTATTTGTTTTGCGGTATGTTACGAGAGAGAAGGTTTGTCATCTTATAAATCTCTTGAAGTTTAGTTCAAGGGTCCGTTCATTTTGTTTTACCATAGTAACCAGATAGAATTGGAAGACTTCCATGTTTGGAATAACAACTGGAATTTAATCATCAGTCTCTACAGTGCTGCAAAATAATAGAACATGTTTAGATTTTAAACTCGAGTTTGAAAATATAAATCTTGCAAAACGGGAAACATTTGTACATACTTAGTTTTCAGTATAACTGTTTCGTTTGTGTTCTTTAAAAAAATTTAACCCCATATTTCCTTCACCTATATGCCTAACACTTCTAATTGCTGGTTTTCTCTCTTGAGGGTGGAGAGGGGATACAAAGTTTAAATTATCATGTTAACAAAGTATATTTCTCTGCCTTTTTCAGAAGACGGCCAGTATTTTCTAAAGGTTCTCATACCTAGCTATGCTGCTGGATCTATAATTGGGAAGGGAGGACAGACAATTGTTCAGTTGCAAAAAGAAACTGGAGCCACCATCAAGCTGTCTAAGTCCAAAGATTTTTACCCAGGTAGGTGCAATGGTGAAGAGATTTCTTGATAAGTCCCCAAGGAAAGAAGGAGATGGTCTTTGTGTGCTGTATGCTGTTTTGAAAGAAATTCTTAATAGTGTAGGCTTGATTTTATGTATGTATTGACTGTATTAGAATGCTTGTGGAAATTCTTAAGGACTATTTCCATTGTCGGTTATGTCTTTTATTCTATAATAGATACACTGTGTCTGTGATGTAGGCCAATTGCGAGATGAATCTCCTAGGTATTTCTAAATACTTTCTTCCTGGGGGAAAAGAAAACACAGCAAACTCTGAAATTTAAAGATAGAGGCATTGACAGCTGGCATCAGGAAATAGGGTTCTTCTGAAGTTTTCAGACATCATTGTAATGACAATTAGTCCAGAGTGAATTCAGAAGAAGAGGGGGTAGGAAGCCTTTTTTAAAGAATGGACCATTTACTTCTAAATCCATTATGTACCTCTTTCTGCTTCATTGCTTTGTTTGTTGGCCCTGGAGTGAAGTAAAGAGGACAAGTGCTGCCTCTTTGGGTTTTTAAAATATTGTGTTTTTAATGTAAATTGTGACGAGAAAATATATTATGTAAGACGTAAAATAATGCTTCAAAATTTTGTTACTTAAGAGCTGTGTTTGATTAAAATATGTCAACAGTTCGTTTGGCACTTTAACCATTAGAATATGGCAAGTTTACTAGGTGGTATAATTTTTTCAGTGTGCTTTTAAAATTTCAGGTGTTATACAGTTATGCATGTTCATCTTTTTAAAAATCATTTTGCTTCTCAATATATGGATTTTAAGTTTAATCGGAAAAACTCCATAATTAACTAGTGTGTCTCCTAGATAAAACATTCATGGATTTGCTTTTACTTGGATGTAACTTATGCCATTTTGGGGGCTATTCCATCTTTATGATTAAAAAATTTTTATTCAGTGCTGAGGGGAACCGATACTGCTAATTTTTTTTTTTTTTCCGGGTGGCAAAGAAAAGCTGATTTTCTTTCAGTGATCTAATTCAGTAAGAGTTCTTTAATACAGCAAAGACATCTGTAACGAATGTAAGCAGAACATTTGGAGGATTTGTTTTTCATAGCTAATCACTTGCTGGTAGAAAATGGACCATTATGCTGGTTAAGAAGGTTTTAGAATGGTTGAAACTGTCATTTGTTATATAGGTTAAGTGTAGTTATATTTAGTGAACATTAAATTTATTAAACTAAAATGTAATCTGTGAGATATGATGTCCTTCGAAAGTTTGTTTCCCGTGAGTGTAGTTTTGTAGGTGGCTTTCCGTGCCTCTGAAACTTTCCCTATGCATTAAGAAAGTTTGCTCATACATTTACATTTGTATACTTAAAAGATATATCACGATGGAAAAATTCAGTTTGGAGCTGTGAAAAACCTAAATATAAATAAAAGCACCCAAAAGAGCTTGATTGCAGAATTAATAACGTGATAGTTCTAGGAAAAGACTGCAATGGTAAATTAAATTCACTTGCAGTAGGTGAAAATGAAATAGCTTTTTTGCATTATACATGAGGCGGTATCAGATGTTCAGGGATGTTTTAGGAAATTGGTGTTTATCAAGGATATTCCAAATAGTAAATTAAATGCCTTTTCATTTGAATGCAGTTTATTTTCAGTGGTTTAGAAAGGGTACACCAAGAATTATATCTTTTGTTCTTAGTCCACTTAGCGGTGCGTCTTTTTTCTTATTACATTGAAATTGGTTATTTTATTTATAGTTCAGGGTCATGTTTTTCCTATAGAAAAAGGATATTTGTTTTGGCAAAGGAAAGAAAACTAAAATGTGTTGAGCAAAATTTCGTGCGTACAGTGACGTAATCTGATCAAATGTGAGTTGAGATGTCTGGATACAAGAAGGCTTATACTCTGACTGTAACAGGTGGAAACCAATCATACACCATAGAATCGATTTTAAGGATAAAACAAAGCCTTGTAATTTATAAAAAGTTTTTATTCTGAACACTTTGTGCTTTAATAAAAATTTAACTAGGTTATTACATATGTATTTCTCTTCTTTTGATAGACTTTAATTGTAATAGCTTTCCTGTTCACACTTGACCACAAGCCTGTGGAATTAAAGTCCTGGTGTTCTTTACAATATCAGCCTCTCAGTGCCTTTCGACTTCTTTTACTTCGATAGACAGATATACTTAAGGCATACTTATGTGGCTCATCTCGGATGAACTAAATTTTAAAGCTTTTCTTTATAGTGGGAAGTTATAAAGACTTTCTTGTAGGATTATGCAATAATTCAGAAGTACATTTTTGTGTGTTTTATATATGTTTGACTCTTTATTCTATTGGAATGAATATGCCTGATGTTTAATCCACGAACATTTTCCTGTGTCTCATTTGGTAAGATAGTGTAATAGTGAAAGTGTACTTTAGTTGTAACCTAATGGGTTTTCTCAAATTACCTAAGTTTTGAAATAGAATGTAACTGTGTTTAAAAGGTTTAGATAAAATACTACTACATTTGACAAAAAACTTTCTTCAGGATATGTATGCAAAAAACAGACACACTTCGGGGATGTTTTAATAAATTTCAATGCAAATGATATGTGCATTTTTTTTAGTATAGCCAATATAATCTCATATTTATCATATTTTTCTTATTTTTGCTCAGGTTATATCTTGAAAATGTCTTAAGCAACCTTGCCTTTCTGAGTAATAATTTATATTTATGGCTGAAATAAAGAAGACATTTTTACATATTAATTAACATGAATTTAGAATTTGTAGTACTGTATGTTGCATTGTGTATTTCATCATGTCATATATTACATACAGTAATTTGGGGAATTGTATGATGAATATTGTAAAGTCCATTTTTCAACTACTGTAATCAGAAAAAAAAATGACCTACAAATAGATTTACTTTTTGTTGTGCAGTGTAATTCATTTATTTTTAAAAATCTAAATTTTACAGAGTACTAACATTACTGGTGGTTTATGGATATATCTTTTTTCTTGATTAAAGCAACCTAATATGATGCGTTTATTGATCAGTTTTCATAATTAGGTTATTTAAAGGTGTTGCCATGTAGTGAATACCAGCTTTCTCATTTGGGGGGCTATGTGGCTGTCTCTGTTTTCAGAATGGTAGGAGTGTTTAGTTTTGCTAATACACAGATTGATTTTATCTGTTGAAAATATTTAATGAATGGTTCGGGTAGGTAATTGGAAAAACTTACTAGTTTAGAGAAGTAGAGGATGTATTAAATAAATATATTCATATGACTTAGATTTTAGAAGACTTCATTGTGTACCTATTTTTTATTCCATTGTATGACACTGGAGCTATTCATTATATCAATCAAACAGGAATCCTTTCACTATAATCTTGGCATACATTTTTACGTAATTTATACAGTTTTCATATTTGCACTTAAAAATTGAATCACACTTAATTACTATTATTGTTTTCTTTTATGGTCCTTATGTCAAAATTTGAACATATTATATCTACCTTTATTATATTTTAATTGTATCACTGTCCAACTTAGGTGATGCTTTTTTAAAAAACCACAAATCATTTGTATGTTACATTTAAAAAAATAATCATGGAAAAGCTGGATGTAAATGAATTTTTCTTTTAGTAAAGGAAATATCCCAGACTGCCTTAATTTTGACATGGGGAAAATCCAGTGGCCAATTTAACCTTTAGAATTGGAATGATCTTTTTTTTTAATGGAAATCAGAGACGTTAAAGCAGTTTAAAATAGATCACTTCTTTTGTTTACCTTGTTGAAAGAAGGGTATCATTATATTAGCAGTACAGAATGAATACTTTTGTAATGGCATTTAAAAGGTATAGTTTATACTTTGATTCAGAGCATCTTAGAAATTTATTGGTATATATTTTAAGCCAAAATTAGTAGATAAATAGAATTCTATCAAGTAGGAAATCAAGTAATATAACTTCTAATATTGTTACAGTTTAATAGGATAGTTACCTTTACACTGTTCTATACCTTTAATTTTAGTATGATGAAGAGTTGCTGATAGATAACATGTTTTTTTTTTAATCTTAAAGTTGTAATATTTATATTTGTCATACTACTTATTGTTGTGGGTTACTTTATATTTTATCCCTCTATCCTCAGTTGAAGAAGGAACCATAACCTCTCACTTAGATATGAATACATCTCTGAAAATTTGCTGCAGTTTTAATTCTTTCTCACTTTAAGCTATAGGAGACCTTAACATCTGAAGGAATTTTACTGGCATAGCACAAACTATGTTAAACTTGCTTCCAAAAGATAATACTGAACTCATATAAACAAATGTTTTATGGCATGGAATTTTTAGTAAGTTTGAATTAACCTTAAAAACCTTAGCTGTTCATTTTATTTCATTCTGATGTTATATCTTCTATCATCCATTTAGTAAGCTATGGAACATTATTTATAGTGTCAGTGTTTTTATGAATAATATAGCAAAATGTTCTTTAAAATTTGGTGTTTGAATGAAGCCTCCTGGATTTTGGAAAAATAGCTAATTTAGAATCTGTGACATTGTAAGGAAATACAGTACATCTAACAACATTGTCTTTCAAATGTCATCCCCAAAGGATTTCAGGAACAGTTAAATATAGTGAACACAATTGGTGAAAACTCAATATTTATGTATTGAAGATGTCTTGTTTAATATACAAAGAGGAATAATTATCTGTGTCTTGGGAACTATAAGAAGTACTATAAGAAGTTTTTAGTGGTGTCACTAAAAACTCGATCAAACAAACCACCAATTAAAACTTGCCTATGTTATACTTTTGCTTTCCCCCCTCTGGTTTAAGGGAATTAAGATTTTTAAGCTCTTACATGACACAAATGACATGTATTGAACACAGTTATGCCACTTGTTGACTAAAATTCAGTGCTTAGCCTAACATATTTTACTATAGAGTTCAGCCTTAGTTGTTTCCAGTTTAGTGGAGCTATATTTTAGAGCACAAGTTTTATGAGCAAGTGCA